GAAAGAAAAGAAAGTTTATGGAAATGTAGAAACTGGCCATTAAGCGCACATGGAATATCTGTTGGAGTAAAAAAATCAGTCTTAAAAGTCTGAGTATTAACTAAGAGGTTTATTTCACTTAATTTCAAGAGTTTAAATCCATCATTACCACCAACTTGATAGCTGCTTCCAGTAGTGTGTATATGTGTTTGTGTTACCCTCTTTACCTACTTTTTGTGCAGTATTTACCACTTGGTCAGTCGGCATGTTTACAATCTGGAAATTTTTCCAATGAACACCATTCAGTCAGAGATTTCTGTCCAGTCAGAGGTCTCATTCAAATGCTGTTCTGTGTAAATATTTGTTGCTGTGTTGCTTAATGAGGCCAGAAATGCAGACACTCCAGCTGACTTATCCACAACCCAGTTCTGTCAAAATATGTAAATTATTAACACCAGGCTGCTATAATATTTGCTTATGTTTACTACAGAATGTTTAGTTTCCTGTTTTAAAATGCTATGCCTTTGGGGTGCACTATGCTGTTGTAGCTAATCAGAATTATGCGGCTAGAGTTTCTCATTATGTTGAATGAAATTTTTGCTGACATTCTTTAAAGCTTGTTCAACCTGACAACTGTTGCTCTGAAAGAATGCATTTGCGGGTGGAGCATGGATAGGTCAGCTGGCCCCTGTCTAATGAAGGAAAGCGGGCAGTTGAAGAAGAATGCAGACCGTTCTGTACTGCTTTTTTTCAGTGTTGATTGAGAGAGGAGGGTGGAGGAGAGAGTGAGTGAGTGTGAGAGAAGAGTGAACTGATCCTCACTCTCTCTGTGAGATGTCACAGGTGGATATTTATTTTCGGAGACAGGCTTGACAGTCTGTCAAGTGGCAGAGCAGGAGAGACAGTGTCTGAAACACACACACACACAGTTGTGTCATTCAGTTTTGTAGGATAAATTGTTTTGGTGTCACAGGGATAGTTTTTATTTTATTATTACTTCAGTAAATGTGATTAGTGAGTGTTCTCCCATGTGTGCCTGTGTTTTGGTCTCTTGTAATTACTCTTCAACTCTTTACTGAAAAGTAACTGTTCCCTGCATAATTAGAATGATGGAGGTATGAATGGATAGATAAATGGATGCATTGATGGATAAATAAACACATACATGGATGAATGGATGGATTAATAAATAGATAGATACCCATCTACCAGCTACATAAATAAATAGATCGATACATGGATGAAAGATAAATAGATAGATAGAGGATAAATGGATTGATAGATAAATAAATTGATAGACGAATCATAGAAAATAGATGGATTAATGGGTGGATAAATGGATGGATGGATAGAAAAACAGATGGCTGATGGATGAATGGATAAATGCATGTATGAATAAATAGATCAATGGATAAATTGATAGATAATAGATAAATGGATGGATAGATGGATACATAAATAGATAGGACAAAAAAATCATGGATAAATAAATAGATTGATGGATAGATAATTAGATGGATGAATGAGTAGATGGATGGATGGGTCAATCAAAAATAGATGGCTGCTAGATAAATAGATTTGGCAGATGGGTGGATAGATAAATAAATTGATAGATGAACCATAGAAAATAGATGGATTAATGGGTGGATAAATAGATGATTGGATAGAAAAATAGGTGGCTTATGGATGGATCCACATATAGATTGATGCATAAATAGATAGATGATAGGTAAATGGATGGAAGAATGGATGGATACATAAATAGATAGGTCAATAAATTCACAGATAAATAAATAGATTGATGGGCAATTAAATGATGAATGAACAGATGGATGGTTCGGAAAATAGATGGCTCCTGGGTAAATAGATAGACAGATGGGTGAACAGATAAAACAGCCAATACATGGATGAATGGATAGATAGATGAGTGGATAAATAGAGAGATGGATGGTAGATAGATGGAGGAGTGAATAGATGAATAGTTCATAGACTGATAGAAATGTGTGCTTAAAATGAAAGTGGGACTTCTTCACGCTTTTTAGATAAGCAACTGCTTGGAAAGTCGTCAGTAAAATCCTTTTCCTGTTTATGTGGGAAATGTAATGTGAGAAATCCAGAATGTGAGACTCAACAATAGTGCTGAAGGTTTTTCTCTGAAGGTTTTTCTCTAAGAGTTTTCCTTGTCATCCTTTCACTCTGCATTATCTCTAAATGTAGATTCCGAAACGCTCATCCACTCTTACTTTACTTTGACTTTCTTTTCACCGTGTCATCTTCAACCAGCTGCTTCGTCTCCTTCCTGTGTTCACCTTCACATGTCAGTTTCCGTTAACAACTGTACACACATCACATCACACATCAGTGCATGCGAGTCACTGAAAGTCAACTTGAAATGGTCCTGAAATGTCAGTAGATTTGTGATTCATCTTTAGAAATCCTGTCCTTTCCTGTGCTGTTTCCACTCTGAGCTCTAGTACAGTCCTAGGTGGAGATGTGTGTGACATATGCTTGTCATAACTGCGGAATCTGGTTCAAAATTCATTTATTAATTCATACATTATTTTTTTTTAATTTCAATTTTCAGTGTTCAGCAGTGGTGTCTTCACAATATCTGGCAAATCCTCATGGCAGGCCATTGCAAGCATTCAGAATGGGATGTTTCAGAATAGGTTGTATGATATTAAAGACATGATAAAAAGCCCTTTGCCTGCCATGTGAGGATAAAGTTGCAGTTTTGCTTATTGTAAGTATCATGCGAACTGCTGCTCTGGTAGGGATTGAATCAGGCAAAACTTTGGCCTTTAAAAACAGCAGCAGTAGTATGTCACCACTCTAGGGACACTCCACTGTAAATTGCCAGAACAGAAGCGGAGAACCCATGATGATGAGGCGTGAGAGTGAGGCTTTTTGCAGACTGGCCCTGTGTGGAGGCTCGCACCATTAAATACCCAGAAAAAAAGCATGGGAGACATGGGAACAGGCCATTGTGCATTCTGGATGAGAGTAAGGCCTAGTCCACACGTACGGGGGTATTTTTAAAACGGGAGTTTTCCTCCTTACTCCTGTCAGCAGCTCACTCAATAGCCACGTTTACATGCAGCCTAATATTCCATTAATAGTCTGACTAATAGCTTAATCAGAATAGAATACGTCCATGTAAACACTTCAATCGGATTAGACTAGTTCGGTTAAGGCCATTCGGAACACAGTTTCTATCCGATTGAACGAGGTGGGTAATCTTATAAATAATACGTTAAGTAGAAGAATAATAACCATGTAAACGCCTGTATCCGTTTACATTCCCAAAGTGTAGGTACGTTCTGCGCATGTGCGTTCGTGTCATAGTGAAACGTTCCGCGTGGCGGGACCAGAAACTGGTCTGGAGAGGACACGAAGTTTATCCTTTGAACTTTAAAAGACGGCGGTGGGATGGACGTCCAGCTTATGTGTCTCAGAGCATGACGTCTTCCTCTCACCTTTCTAAGTGTAATAAGTACATGTGAACTATGTTTTTCCTGAGTCTGACATTATTTTAAAGTAATAAAATACACAGGCACTGCTCACTGCTGCTCGTCTCACTCTGACTGGACTCACGTGATGCTTGTTGTCACGGTAACATCTACATTAAGTGGTTCTCTATGCACGCACGTAATTTTGATTAGATTACTTCTAGTGTGCATGTAAATGGAGATTTTCCATCAGAATGTTGAGTGGAGTGAACACATAAACACCTTAGTCTTAATCTATAATCAGAATGTATTCAATTGGATTGGCCAACACTTTGCATGTAAACACAGCCATTGACAACAGCGTTGACGAAAGGGTCTGTGTTGTGGCAGTGCTGGATATAGCAGTACCTCTCCTCTCCTCCGTTGTCTCTTCTTCTTTCCTTCACTCCGTCTATTCCTCAGCTTTTGTTCAGTGAACTAATACGCTGTTGCATGCTGTGATGTCTGATATCTGCTTTGAGAATCAGCATCTTCCTCTTACAGTCACACACTTTGTGTGTGTGTGTGTGTGTGTGTGTGTGTGAGAGAGAGAGAGAGAGATGCAGACAGGAGGAGAAGTGTAGCGAGTTAGAGATGAATAATGCATTCATGCGTCTTTTCCCCCCTCTTCCTGTGGAGCGGCTGGAGCTGACAGTGATGTGTGTTTGATGGTGGTTTTTCTGTCCCACTCTGGCGTGAAGGGTGGGCTGTTAGCGTGGTCGAGGGGACAGAGGAGTGACCACACTGGCTGTTTTTATTTATCCTTGAGCACACAGACTCCTTGTGGTCAGATGGACAGGTTTTGAGTGTTGGGAGAGTTTCTAAACAAAGCTGATCATCAGAAGTGCTCGCAGAGCGGCCCACTCACAGATAGCCCCCCGCTGCAGCACCTGCCCACTCACTTAACACACTGAGGGAGGAGGCATTTAAATAGCACCCCTCTCACTCACTCTCTGTCTGTCTTTTCCTTTTCTTTCTTTTCTTTCTTTCTTTCTTTCTTTCTTTCTTTCTCTCTTACTCCTGCCTGCTTTAGATAGATGGGGATGTGTAGTGGTCTGTATTGCAGGGGAGGTCGTCACACTGAGGGACTGGGTTTCAGTAGCTGTCCCTGGGCAGAGCTGCTCTCTTTCGTGCCTCAGATGTCATGGAGAACTTTAAATGAGTGTTAAGTCTGTCTACATGTACCATTTATGCTTTGAGTAACACACAGATGTGTGTGTGTGTTTGTGTAATTCTTTGGTGTTCAGCCTAACCTACAAATATCACTGGGGGAAAAAGAGCAATCACTGTTGTCACTCCATTCACAGTGTAGCAGTACACTGTATGGTAATAATAGTGTTTACTTAATGCATCTGCTTGGTTCCAACAGTGGCGTTCAGTTCAGTCCACTGTATTTGCAAAATCACACATAATTTAACATAATATATAATCACACATTGTTTAACTCACCCCATCTCTCTCTCTCTCTCACTCTTTCTCTCTCTCTCTCTCTCCTCTCTCTCTCTCTCTCTCCCTCTCTCCCTCTCTCTTCAGTTCTCTGAGTCCAGACGCAGATCCTGATGGTGCGTTTCAGAGGGAGGGCTTTGGCAGACAGAGCATGTCAGAGAAAAGAACCAAACAGTATGGAGATGCTACTCAACTAGAGATCATCAAGACTCGCAAATCTAAGAGCATGGATTTAGGTAACTACATCTCTGTAAAATCTGCAGAGCCCATAATCATCCATCCTGACTTTAGCCACTCCCCACGCCTCTGCTCCTTTCCCAGCTGAGCTGCAGATGTAAAATAGTGATGGTTTCTTAAGGGGCCAACATACAACTTTATAAATAAGCAAGTATTACTGTGTATAGGTCACTAATGAAACACTAAAGAAGTGTTTTGCTTTGGGTCAGTACCACCACTAATAAGAACTTGACATACACTCGAGATCATCACTGGCAACTGACTGGCCGTCAGACGTTTGAGGACACCTTGCTTTCTTTAAAAGTGTTAGATTTTCAGTTTTACTTTTCAGTTTAGTTAGAAAAGGAAAACCACTCAATTTTATCTTTCTCAGTATAAAGACCAGTTTTATTTTAAGTAACAATTTGACAGTTTTCCTTTCCAATTCTGTTGTTAAAAGCACAAATTGAAACTGTTTTGACCCAAAGGTAGTTTAAACACCTAAAAGGTTTGACTGCTGATGAGTGCTAACATCACATCAAGAGACAACATGGGGGATTTGGCATTATTTCTTAGGAAGTACTGTCACAAATACTGTCACCTGGTTGGTCTTTAAATTGTTACGTTATTGCAAACCAACAAAGAACACATGGTCAGTTGTATTAAAAACATTTGGAAAAGCTAGGTGCCTCTTAACTTTTGACAGGCATTGTAAGATCAAAGTTTCACCCTGCCCTGAGTTAAGGCAGCAGCAGCAGAACTGTTGGAGAAGGTCAGGGTCGTTTCTTTGCTGAGGAACATGGAGAGGCACTCTGCATGTCCCTGTGGACCTGTGCATGCTGCCGCTCCAGCGAGTGGCTAATCGGAGGAGATGAAACAGGTTTTCCCTCCTCTTTGCCAGTCACCATGGAGACCCTGGACTCCTGAGACTGGCCTCTTCTCCACTCAGCCACCACTCACTTCTTAAAAACTCCAGAAACTTCTCAGGAAGTTCATCAGGACTTTTTTCCTGCTTCGCACAAATCATGGGAGAGAAAGCTGATACAGCACTCAGAGGGAAAGAGGCGGGAAAGTGAAAGAAAAGGGCAGATAAGACTCGTTTTAGTCCCCCCATCTAGGTTGAACTGCATTAGGCTCTGGATATCAATTAAAAGGAGCTGCAGCTAGCTGGGCTCAATCAGAGCCATTAGTAACGGTAGGAGAATCCTCCGGTGTGTAAAGAGCTTTGGGCCCTAGCTCCTGCCTCTCCATCATGCTTTATCAAAATGCGCCATAATTGTGCTGTCAGTTGCCCTCGCTCCTGATGAAAAATTGATATGTGGAGTGATGTCCCCCTGATGAAACAATTACGCCACTCCTAATCAACGGAAAGTGAAGTTTGAGAGGCTTTTAGGAGAAGTCGTTTCCTTTTAGCTTTGCCAAGTTCACTGAGCCTTGCTCAGACGGACACACATAGCCCACAGGAGTGTTGTGTTGTTGGGCAAGAGTTGTACATAGCATCACAAAATTTGCATTATTAGTCATAATAGGTAAATCAATAATTAGCTCTGCTTCAGTGTTAAAGTGATTTAACAGAACTGATGGGCTTTAGTTTTTTTAACAAATTGGTTTGTCTTATTAGACATTTTGCCAGTTTTGTTATAAGAAAATGGTCCCATATCATGCAAAACCAAATTTACCTCAATTCTTTTAACATAAAAGTGTTTGATGTAATATGTAAACACTTTTAAAGTTTTAGAACATACCATTCACTCCCCATGTCCATACATTCCATATATAGGAGCTAAGCTGCTAAAATTAATTCATTGTTTTTGTGATGTCAAATATATATATATATATATATATGCCTATTCAGTCTACAGCAGTTTAGCCCCACCCATTCACGCTTAAGTTATAAGGAGTGCTTCAGCCTACATAGCCGCAATACAATACGATACAATTAGTCAGTCAATCAATCAATCAGAACAGAGCTCATTTATCATGTATCTGTCTTAAAGACACACAAAGAACAGCCTGTTTTATTTTAAGGCATAAACAGAGGTTGGAAAATAGTCATGTACAAATGAATCATCACTGTTTTTGGAACATAAGCCCTCACAAACATCATAAGTAGGCCTTCAGGAGAAAAGTAAAAAACAAGAACAATGTCTTGAAGGACTGCATAGATTCAGAGCACTGAATGGACCTTCAGTCACAGGCTACAGAGAATGAGGGGACCCTTTCTAGCATTTCTTCAAGACACATAAACAACTCTAAAGAGCTGAGCAGAAAGTACTGCACATTACTTACCACCCCATTTCATTTTGAAGCTTCATCACTGGTCATTAAAGGCACTTTCCACTCCCAGCAAATCACCTGTTCTCAGTTCATGCCAAGCAATTTGCCACAAATGGCCTGTCTTTTTTACCCCTTAAAACCTGCTGGATATTTTTTCCCCTCTCTGTCTTGTCTCGAGTGCTCAGTAGTGCACCAGATCAGCAGTGTCTACCTAAAGACCGATCTGAGAGCCATCTCGGAGATTACGCAGAAGCGTCCGCACGGCCGATGCTTTGCATTCTCTCAGATGTGTGATAAGGCGTGCCAGTGAGAACAGGGGATTGGTTCACGACATGCATGGAGCTATGAGTAATCACCTAACACAATATAACCTGTCCTCCAGTGAATATGAATGACTCAGAGAGAAGCATGATATTCCATATCTCTCTATGTTCCTCTCTTATTTGTCAGTCTATCTCTGTCTCTCATTCTCCAGTGATTTGCATGCTTCCCGTGGCCTTTGGAAATGCCAGTAATGGAAATGAAGTCACTCTGTAATGCTTGGGATTTGGGAATGGTGGAACGTCTTGCACTAATCAATCACAATTCTTTATGCCTCTTTAACAGTAGCTGACGAGATTAACCTCACACCCCGCCCAAACAGGACAGAAGGTAAGACAACCAGTCACTTTAGCATCACGACCGGACTGGCTTATCTGTCTGCGCTTGGGCATGCTAGCTCTTAGCACTTTGGCTGGGATTCCAACTGGGAGTGGAATTTATTTATTTTTGTTATTTTTCTCTAAATATTGCCTGTTTGTGTCTGTGTCTTGTTTACTCGTAGCTGTTCGTAGTAGTTAATTTTTCATGTGCTTCATTTTTAGAGCTCCTAGTAGAGTTCGCCGGAGATCTCGAGGCCGTGCTGTATTTCTTTTTAGCATAACGCAGCAAATGCATTTAATGTGACCTGCATTACTTAGTTCACCCTTCAAACTCTTTGCCAGCATAATTCCACCTATTAAAGCTCTCTGCTGAAAGGCCACATTCATATGTGTATGTTTAGGAAGTGATTTTAGGTAATTGCTATCAATTTAAAGATTTTCTTTTCTTAAATTGGAATAAGTGGTGTGGCGTTAAATAGAGGTTTTTGGCTGCAGCTTTGCAGAAGGCGAGGCACACTGCTTGCTCTTCAGAGAATACGATGCAAGAAAACATTAATTAGGCTGAGAGGTGTTTCGAATGGGAAGAGGAAGGAGGTGGAGGAAGATGGAGGACTGTATGCGTGTGTGCAGTGGGTGCTGGGGGGCTTTGCTGAAATCCTCTTGGAAATTAAGACCCTAAAAGTCAGTTGAGCCTGTTTGTCTGACTTCAATTAATCCATCAATGTCGAGTGGCTGGAGTTATGTGCTGTAGTCACAACACAGAGGAACACAGTTTCTGAAGGCCCTAGGTAGAGTTAAACCATGTAGAAAACCTATTCTGGAACAAATGTATAGAGCTGCCAAGAATGTTGACTAAGAGCAAAATTGATTGACTCTGTGTAGGCCATGGTGGTCGACTGGATAGCTTTTCTATGAAACGTAGGTATAGGAGTTTTAAAAATAACGAGATTTCACCCTGCAAGAATATATCAAGTCAGCTTCCACACCTGGAACTTGTTCCCTTCTGTGTGTGAGGGGTGAGGGGGTGCTAAAAACACCTTGAGCTGCCTTAAACATCTTTAACACTGACCAAAATCATAAAAGTATCTTCCCTGGAGATTGTGACAGCCTACGCTTCTAGTGTCCAGGCTCCCAGTCAAATAGTAAAAGATCACTGAAAGTCTGCTGCACCTGGAACCACTCAGACTGCCACAGACCATCTTTGGAACCTCATACAGCTTTATGCTCAGTTGTAAAATTAACTGGGCCACAACCACAGCAATGAATAATCCACCATAACCCGTTGTGTTATAAGCTAATGAACTGCATGTCCTTGTGGTTTGGAAAGGTAAGTGGTGCCATATGGTGCAGGTCAGCGCATTACGGATTGCAGGTCGACTGCAGTTTGTGGGAAGGCTATAGTGAGGAATACTGTGGTCAATTACCTGTATGACTCAGCAGAAACTGCCTAAGATGATTCAGAATATCTGCAGCATTGCTGATGGCATTGTGGTAATGGTACATATAAGAGCCCTGTGACCGATTGAGCTTGGCTATTGGTAGTTAATTAGGACAGGTGTAGAAAAGCAGGGGAACTGAGCCATGCTAATGATCATGAACAGGCAGCCACGGAGGCTTGGGCGACCCCAGGGCCCCTTCGCTCTTCCTGGGATACCAGAACAGGACTTTCCCCTGGCCATCGCGGAGCTATTTTTGGCCTAATCACCCTTTTACCCCTCCCAGCTGGCTGAATAAATTACAACTAATGGATCCTATGTCCATGCACACATGCAGACCTGTGTGAGGCATCGCCTTGGGTAATGGCCTTTACAACACCGTCTGAGCCATGCTAACGAGGCAGCAGCCACAACCCTCACATTAACTGCCGCCCGATTATTCATGGAATTTGTGTTACCTCCTTTTAACATTTAACGATAATTGCTCCTTGCCGCTAAGTGTCCTTCCTAGTCATCTTTGCAGACTGACTAATTAAGGAGATATAGGCTATATGTCTGCGAGTTTGGTGCTAATTTTCAATGCATGCTCTTCAGCTGTGATCTAGGATATTTCCTGAACAGAGAGAAAAGCAATGCATGTTTTTATTGGCAAAAACTGACATTTTCTTTCTTTTTTCTCCCTCATGAGTGACAGTGAGCTCAGTGTTAGATATGTGATAGGAATCGTGGAGTAGTCTATTGAAAGATGCTTGTCAAAAAAAGAGAGGGGAGTACAAGGCAAGAGAACAATTACCAGCGTTTCCTTCTGTGTCGCTCTTTGCTTCGATGAGACACAGCGCCAGCTCTTGTGATGCGGAATGACATACGGGCTCGGCAGGATTGTAATTCCGAGATCCTCAGAGAAGCAGATGTCATTCACATTTTCTTGAACTGCGGCGGCCGCCCTGTCTTTATTTGCCGCATCCCTTCGCATTTGGCATGCAGGCTACTCCCATGATCCAGGCTTCGAATTCTAAACCTTAAAAGCTTTCCATTTACCTGGTATTTGCAGTATGTTGATTAAGCTTTTCTTCTGCCAGCATTTGGGGAACAATATTGTTTGGATCTGATGCAAGTTTCTTCTGTTCGTCTTCTTTTTGTGTGCCCTCCAGTGTCCTTTATAAATAAGGAATGATCCTTCAGTGAAACGAATGAAGAAGGTCTCCACTTGCGCCCAGGTGCAGACATGTTTCATTGTCATATAAATTGCTTCATAGCTGTAATCAGCTATGTGCTCTCGGCCTGCTGAAAATGAAGAGCCTTTGGAAATGACTGTTTTAGTTCATGTTATCTCTGGGGCAAGATGACCATGCTGGTAATTCCAGATGTTCAGGAACACACTAAATGAGCTTATTGAGTTTGAGCACTGTTGATCAATCGTGTTGAATGCATTAAAAATTGTATGACCTGTTAGATGAAAATTATTGATTAGAGTTTGCTGCATTGACCTCAGAGATTGGCTCTGTGTTTTATGCTGGTCATGAAAAAAAGGCACTCCTGGAGATTTCCTTTGTACATAACCTTGAGAGTCACTGGCACCATTACAGTTGGCAAAAGGGTTGAGGAAGTTTCTGCCGGCAGCCCCTTGAAACCTTGATCTAACTCAATGGAGGGAATCTACAACACTGCAGACTTCAGGCAGTGCCACATCTCGAGCTGCAATTCAAATTTTTCATCACAACCTTATAGCAAAGAGCTACTCAGTAGAAACAATCCGTCTCAACTACATTTGTGAGTATTTGAGGGGTTAGTTCATTTCAAACCCCATCTGACCTAACCTGTGTTTGAGCTTGATTCGTTTTACCTGGGGAGGTCTGTGAAATCTATGATTTTAATTGCTATGCAATATCATAGATATGTGCATTATGCAGTGTACATAGTTTTGCAAGACTGACAGTAATAATTCCAGCATGAAACCTTTTGTTTACGTCTGTAGTTCACAAACTTCAGGCTCCCTGATTAATGGTAATCCTTGAATATGGTAATAAATGAACTTGATTATTGACATGGCTATGCCCCATTGTCAGAGGGGAGCCCTCAGGACCTTCTAGGCCTTCAGAAAAGGCCTAATGGATTCTGGAAAGTAAAAAATACATGTCTGTAATAGTTAATAATTCATTTCATAGAAATTATTTCATGTCATCAATTTTGTGAGTATTGTATTAATAATTTTATTCCACATACCTTATCGCTTCTAGCAGAAATGAACAAGTCTGTAGAAGTGAATTTTGATATTTATGCCCAAACAGAAGTGCAGTCACAGTCACGTTCGCCACTGCTTATTGTTATACTGATGATATTAATGTTGTACCTGTTGAATAAGCTGATGTGTACATCCAGGCTCTATGTGGTAATTTGGGGAAATTGCACAGATCCTATATGAATGAGCCAGTCAAATCCTTTACAAAATGCCTTAAGGAACCTTGTCTGGTAAAACAAATCCAGCTCAAATATTCTTAAATTTTACTGAGAAGGTTGTTCATGATTGTGGTAAGGCTGAGTGGCTTACCACCTCCTTGTTTTCTCTGTGCTCTCTTAGTGATTGGCGATGGTGCTGCCAATAGAGGAGGCCATGCTTCAGCTCTAGCTCAGCTAATCATTGCATTCAAGGTGCAGGTTTGCTTGGTTAAAGGATCAAGAGCAGATTAGCGAGATGTCATGGGCTACCGCGTGAGGAAGAATGATAACAGTAGCAGTTCCATTGTGGATTACTCTGCTTCCCTGGCACTTTGCCTTTCCTGCCATTTACCTTCCTATGGCTCAAACCACCTGGAACCATTCTCCCATCGTTCTTTCTTCCTCTGGTCCCCTATTTCATAGGCTACGATGCTACAGACATGTGATTCAAGCAGAGAGAGAAGGTAATAGATTTCTAATTGTTTTCGTTGGGTGATTAGGGGTTTATTTGGCCAAGCCAATCTCTGTTTCACTTCACGTCTTTCCACGCAGAGATCCGCTGTGAGCTCAGCGGCCAGCGGGCATGCTCCATTTAGCACTCAGAAAACAAGCCGAGACCCTCACTAAAAAAATCAACGCTAAAGGGTTCAGGGGGGAAGAAATGAAGAAGACCACATGGTCCACCTGAACGGCCCATCTGAGACAAAGTAGGGTGAAAGAAAGAGAGACTGACTGACAGCTATGTTTACACAGAATGCCACCATATGTTCGACTGTGCTGTACAATGGAATCCCTTTAGTGAAGGGCTATGGAGAGACCAAGCTCAAATTCCAAGCCACGCTTGAGATCTTGAGCACATGCTCCCAAACATCCATGTGGGTCACGCTGAGGAAAGACCAGCTCTTATTGAATAGCTGAATGTCAGGGATGTGTGATTCGATGTATATCTTAATCATTGCCATGTCGCGAAAAAGGGCACTTGATGGAAAATCAAAATGGACGTCAGACCACATGCTGGTTATGGGCCGCTGTTCAGGAGGCGGACGCTGACATAATGAAATTCCCTTAGTCTCGCCTCACTACACTACTCTAAACAAAGAACAGCAGCCATTGGAAAAATAATTCTGGCTGTCTGAGGGGGAGCTGTGTTGGCCTTAAACAGAGCAAGGGACAGCTGGAGCTGCTGAAGCCCACTTGGGGTTTCCTTACATCAATATCTCTTGTGTTTGACCTAGTATGCTTTATGGAAAGAATGGCACTTCTATCAACTCGGTCAACAAACAGAAAGAATAGCCCCGGTTGCGGTCCTTTGAATAGCAGCTTTCCCTCATCTGTGCCATGTATATTTATATATCATTTGCATGTTAATTATATTTGTGTGCATAATGGAGATTCATTATGCCGAACATAGCAATGAGATGTAGTCAACCGGGCCGCTGGCTATGCACCATTTCTGTTTTTTTCTTTGGCTGCATGCAGAGTCGAGCCTTTTGGTTCTGCGCTCATGTTTGGTTTTTCTGTTCAATTAGTGTGTGCGTGTGATTTATTGGGCGAGCTTTAAACGTTTGTCTTGTCCCAATCACGCAGGTGGCTCAGAGAATGTTGTGTGTGACTGTTCCAGACTCTGTTCCATATGCGCCCACCTGGCCATAGACACCCCCCTCACCCGTCACAAACCCAACCAACCAACTCTTCTTGCTCTCTCATTGTGGACTCTCTCTCCTCAGCAGGTTCTTTGGAGCAAGATTAATGCTGTGTCTCTGCTGCAAGTTGTTTGAAGTGGGTGTGTTGGGTCTCTGGAATGCCTCCTTACACACACACACAGACACACACACACAGACACACACACACATACACACCCTTACAGAGTGAGGAGTGGATTAGAGTCATGAAAAGGTCATTAAAAAGAAAGCTTCAAGGGAGGAACAGGGAGGATGTGCTGGTGGGTTTGAATGGGCCAAATCTTGTGTGTTTAGTCTGCATGCTTCTTCCCTCCCTCCCCACTTGTTCTTCACATCCTCTTTTTCCTCTGTTCCCTTCATCCCTCCTGCCCCTGACCACACACCCAAGATAATGGGCCTCATACTTGTGCCATATACAAGTGCCTTAAACTAGTTATATTCTCCCTCTCTCTTTCCCTGTCTCTTGCTCTCTTGCTTTCTTTCTCTCCCCCACATTTTGCCTCTCTCTTTCTCTGTCTCTCTCCCCTTTCTTTGTCTCTTCATTTTTTTCTCTCTGTCTGCCTCTTTGCTTTTGCTCTCTCTCTCTCTCTCTCTCTCTCTCTCTCTCTCTCTCTCTCTCTCTCTCTCTGTGAAGTGTTTATATAGTTTGCAGCCCTATAATTTAAGACAATTATGTATACAGATTGAGGAAGAAGCCACTAAAACAGCCCCAAGAGTTTGAAATGTATTGTTTATCCTGTTCACAAGACAGATAATGTGTCTCACAGCTCACTTCCTATCCAATGGGGTCTTTATATTCCATATTATTTCAACATTGTTTTTCTCTCTCGCTTTGCAGCAAATCTGCAGATAAGTGGAATCCGCATCTTCTCATTTATCTTCAGACAGGAGAGCGAATGGCGCAAATGAATTAGTAAAACAAGGCTGCATCTAAAAGAAACAAGCCCTAGTTTTCAAGATGGAGGAGCTTTTTGTTGTCATTGCTGAGTTCATTATAAAGTGTCCTCTGTTTCACCCCTAAGGCAACTCCACGCGAGACGTCGGACCCAATCTGGGCCTGAAGAAGTCCAGCTCCCTGGAGAGCCTCCAGACGGCCGTTGCCGAGGTAACGCTGAACGGGGACGTCCCCTTCCACAGGCCCCGCCCTCGAATCATTAGGGGAAGGGGCTGCAACGAGAGCTTCCGGGCCGCCATTGACAAATCATACGACCGGCCTGTGATGAGCATGGCGGGTGAGGAGGAGGAGGATGAAGGCATGGAGACCTGTAAGTGCTCTTAGGTCACAAGGGGACATACAAATGCACTCATTCCATTCTTTAGCATTGTGGGTTTTTTTTTTTATTTTAAACCCTTACAAGTCTTGATTGTAATTTCTTGGCTATTTTTGTGTAATTACATTATTCATTATGCCATTTGTCACTTAATAAACTATATTCATAGTCGTCCTCCTGTTCTTATAGAACACTTCATGTTTCTTTTTAGTCCATCTATGTTTTTTTTTGTTCAGATAGGCAGACACCATGAGGGAACGTTACAATAGCGCTTGGAGTTCCTTCCACCACAACTAGGTCAGGCTTCCCCTTACAGACAGAGAGCAGCCCAGCACAGTAATCTGCGACCAATCAGCATCTGCATTACTCACGTATTACTATTCATATCAGCCACGTCCGAACCAGCTCCCAGACGGCCCTGCTGGCTGTTTCTTTCTTCCCGGTGGGGCCTTCTCATTCAAAAGGCTCCTTCTTAATGCTTTCAGACTCAGAGCAGTAGGGAAACCCTTGTCCTGTTTACGGGAAGAAACAGCTCGTCCTTCATCTCTCCTTGGAGAACCTTAGTGAATAAAGCAGTCTAGCTATTGCTGTGACCTTCATCAGTGTTTGAGTAGATTGTAGCATAGATTCTTAAAACAGGTGTTAAAGACAATGCAGTGTAGGTTTTTTTATTTCTTTAACCTGTATGACCCTTTTATGACATTTTGTGTTATCACAGTCAACCAGTTTGTGTTGTGTTCTAGTTAATGAATGAAAGAATATTAAGCCATAGGATGCAATTGGACTGGAATTGTTTTATGGGTTAAGAAAGGCAGTGTGGCCAGATTTTTCAAACCAATAATAATTATACAATTTGTGGGAGACATGCTGTTGTCTGGTGCTGTGTAACAAATGGGTCAATGAACACTTTAGAGTGTGTGGTTAGTTGAACATTTTGCTTTATATGTCATCAAAACATTTTAGCTCTGCTGAAAGTATTATATTCTCATTATGGGTATAAGTGCATGAATCTGGGTCTCTCCCAAAGCATCGCTGGTTCTAAAACATGCTTTTGGATATTCCACCATTTCCACCCTGTCCAGTCTGGTGTTTCGTTACACACAGGCATGTTTTGGAGCTGTCATACAGCCCTAGGCCAGCTAATAACAGGAGTTTGCCTTAGGAGCCGCCTTACTATCCATTTAAAAGAGTCCATTTAAATGAGGCATTTTTCTTTAAAAAAAAAAAAAGAAAGAAAGAAAAAAAGGGGAATTATTTGCCTGAATCACTTTGTTCTGGTAAGCTTTGTCTGCAAGCCTGCTAAATACCGTCTTATCTTCCCTTGAGCAAAATGGGGCGGTGGAGGGGGGCATACTGGGGGCAGTAGATTCTGCCACAGAGGTATATTGCATTTCTCCCGTCCTGATATTCAAATAAGTCAAATAAGTTTTTCAATTTAGATAAAAAGCATCCTGCCTGTGTCTGTCCCTGAGGTTAATAGTCAGAGTTGACAGATAAGGGCGGGCATTCTTTCTCCACGCCGACACTTTTATTTACATAAAATGTGAATTTGGCGTTAGCCAGGGGAAAAATGTGTCACCCGTAGATATCCCGCCGAGAAAATAAGCCAGCCAGAGCTTAGCTCACCTCTGTATTTCCAAAATACCAAACTTCACTCTTACGTTTCAGCTCGTGAACCACAGTGGCAGTTCTCCCAATCTGTCAGAATCCATCGTCGCACAGAGAAGGAAATGAACACCTCGCTGCATCAAAAGGAGGAGACTAATGATGCCTTTTGATCGGGGTGTCAAAACATTTAGTGCTCTCTCCCTCTCTTGTGCAACTGAAATCATTTTAATTACACTAATTCATTTCCTTTTGATACAGCAGTCAAACGACCAGCTCGGAATGGCAGCTTAACTTGCTGCGATGGCTGTTTTGATGAAAACACTATTGATCTGCTGGAGCTGTTGCTGCATTGACTCTGGCTTTGCCGTCACGCGTCTCTTTGTTAGGCTAATGAGCAGTGTTTGGGAAATGAAGGGTCCAATTTATACCTCTCATCCTTTTCTCTCTCTTCCTCTCAGTTTTCTCTCCTCTTTGGTTCCGTGTTTGTCAAGACCAGATTGAGTTTTTGTGGGTGTGTGATAATGACAAGCTGAGTGCTTGCCTACACGCACACTCATCTGGCCCCCCAGGAGGCCTGAGCGATTGCCATCTCCTGTGTGTTATCCGAGACGGCATCATTAGGAGCTGCAGAAATTAGCACGCTCCTCTAATCTCGCAGCCCAGTTTTAATTGCCAGATGCAGCTCATCCGTGGAGATACGCCGCCTTTGCACTTAGCGGGCCGATAAGCTGGCACACAAGAAGAAAAAAGAGAATGAAAAGTGATGAAAGTGATATCTCCCCAAATGTAGTTAGTGTTATCATCCTGCAAACTGTTAAAGGGGTTTGGAGAAAGAAGACAAGAAAAAAGGGAAGCAGAAAGCGTTGCATAATTGAAAAGGGTTTGAGCACTTGATTTTGCCCGCCATTCCTGTCATACATAATTCCACGGTGAGGTTTCACTTCAGAGATTTCCTCAGGGATGGCCCGAGTGAAGAAAGTGCTGATAACTCTAGAAGACAGAAAACAAATCTCCTACTATACCTCCACCGTGCAACTGGAGTCCCATCTCTGCTCCATCACAGCCTAGCAAACTAAAACCTCTGCCAGGGCTTCTTGTTCTCCTGACCATGTAGACCGACAACTCTGTCCTGCAGAGGGCTATAGGATATTAATAAATTCTAACCAGACATGCGTCTACCACCAGGTACACTGCAGTAGATATGACATCACTGCTGCTTAACGTCATGCTAAGGCACTTTGCAATTAACACCCTTCCTCTCTCCCCAGCACCACCCCTTTGCAGATTCGGAGTTTATTTAAACTTACAATTACTGACAGATTAATTACGTCTGATGCAGCAGGCCATCCGGAATGGAAATAGTAGTTATAATCGAAACGATGCTGAAATGAAAATTAGCTAGATCAGTTCCCATTCGCTTTGGGCCCTGTGATTACGAGTAGTGTGAGATATATTCCAAATATGGAGAAGAAAAGTAAGAGAGTAAAATAAGAAAGTGGGAGTGAGAAGAAATTCTGCCAGTGTCACCATCTGTGTGACTTTATTAATACTGAAAGAATTCACTGTACAGACCTGAGTGAATGCATCAAAATCAATATAGGTAATTTTTTGTTTCGACTGGTTGTGCTGTAAGCTCTGCAGAGAAAATTACGATGGTCTCGCTGCTATTATATCAGGAGAACAGAACTCTCTCTTCAAAGCAAACATCCTAACAGTGCAGTGTATTAATAAAACAAGTATATTAGCAAAGCAATTCTGCCCTTGCTCTGATGTTTTCAAAGAGAGCTTCAAAGTCTCTTGTGAGACCAAAATATTGCTCCTTCTTAATTGTGCGCAGAGAGGCAGGGAAACAGTCGGATAATGATTTATTCTTGGAGTAGAACTGTTACAAAGGGAACATTTTAATAAAGAACTCTCTGTTCCCGCATAGAAGAGCTCCTTTCTAAAAATACTTGCTCGCTTGGTGGATAAAGGGAATGCCGTAACTCTGTCTTCTCAGAAAGCCTGTTTGTGTGTGTAGTCTAGGCCTCAGCCCCTGATGTTGAAACATATACAACAGCAGATGTGTGAAACATGACTGTGTGGCTATAGTTCAGCCTTTTGTGTAGGCCTTGCTGTGGAGACCCTGCTGAGGGAGGGATGTTAAAGCGATAGTTCAGTGAAGAGTCAAATTTACAGAAGTTGCTCAAAGTTACAAGGTACACATGCACCCTTGTAGTCAGTCAGTCGAGACATGTTTGATGTCTGAAGTTTGCTTCTTAGTTTTGCACTTGAGCTAGAAGGCTAATGTAGCTAACAAGCAGTGGAAGCTTATATGTGCTGACGTTTGTAATCGATGACAAACCTTTCTTGGCTGATCAACTACATTCCAGGTAATTTGGTGACAGTTTTTACATTATGTTAACAATAAATTATTGATGTGAAAATAGAAGAAAGCTGCTGCGATAATGCAGCTAATTAAGCGGTCCTTTCTTGCTCTTGGTGACACATCACGGTGCCTTAGCATTCAGTTACAAACGTTATGTGGTCATATGTGACCCTGACCTCCTCTGAAGGTGGTTTGAGGGATTAGAGATCTCAAAGTATCTCTGAAACATGCTGGACCCCATTTACACCTGTACTTGGCACTGTACGCTAACGATTGGATCACCGAAGATGATCCAATTGTTAGATGTAAACGGCCAGATGTAAACGGGGCCCCAGTCTCCTGATGAGTCAGCTCGGATTGAAGCTGGAGGCCTGCTGCAGCTCTACTTAAAGACCCCAGAGAGCCGTTTACCTGTTTGTCTTCTGACCACAGCGTTTTCAACCTGAGAGATGAGGCTCTTCCTGACTCTTGGATGATCTCAGTGAAGAAAGAGAAAGGGGAAAGGTTTTAGTCTGTGCTGAAAGAGAGAGACTTCGCCACCTCCATCTGGGATGTGAAAGAGGGAGTGTGTGGATGTTTGTGGGACTGGGGGTGTGTAGGGAGGTCAGGCTTTTAATGGATTCCGTATTGAGGCCACACATTATCACAGATTCCTTCCAAATGAAATAGTGGGGCCTGTTGAGCCACCATGCCCTCTAACCATTGCCCTTCATACCAGACTCGACTTCAGTATGTATCAGAAAAATGGAGCGCTTGCGGGTGGATCTGTGTCAACAGTCCTGGTATTGCTCAGTGTTTGTGAAAATATTTTATTTGGCAGAGCCGACAGGGAAGCCTTGGGTGCTGTCTTGATTTTGTACATTCTTAAGTGTTTACAGGGGCTTAGGTCTAGTATGCCTCTCACTATCTCTCTCTCTTTCTCTCTGCCTCTCTCTATCTTTCTGCCTCTCAGTGGAAGAGGACACCGAGGAGAGCTCACGCTCTGGTCGAGACTCTGTCTCCACAGCGAATGACCTACCACTCCCAGCTGGTGGGGCAGCCATCCCAGAGAGCCAGGTGAATGGAGGACGGTCCAAAGATGACAAGAAGAAGGGAGGGAAGGAGAAAAAGGAGAAGAACAAATCCAAGAAAGGCGTGCTCAAGGGCCTGGGTGACATGTTCAGGTGTGGTGACCCCAAAAAGATGTCTCGCCCCAAAACCCGTCTCCCTTTCACATTCAGCCCAGTGCAATCAGGTGTTTAGCTGGTGTCAGTGCAGCGCTTTAGCTGCTGTTTTGCTGGTGCCATTGTAGCCTATTAAATGCTGTTTAACCGGTGCCAGTGCAGAACTTTAGTTGCTGTTTACCTGGTGTCAGTGCAGAACTTTAGTTGCTGTTTACCTGGTGCCAGTGCAGTTAGCTATTTACCTGGTGCCAGTGCAGTTAGCTGTTTACCTGGTGCCAGTGCAGTTAGTTGTTTAGCAGGTGTCCGTGCAGGACATTAGCTGCTGTTTAACTGGTGCCAGTGCAGAACTTTAGTTGCTGTTAGCTGGTGCCAGTGCAGTTAGCTGTTTACCTGGTGTCAGTGCAGTTAGCCTCTTACCTGGTGTCATTACAGAACTTTAGTTGCTGGTTACCTGGTGCCAGTGCAGTTAGCTGTTTACATGTTGACAGTGCAGCACTTTAGCTGCTGTTTACTTGATTGCAGTGCAGTTAGCTGTTTAGCTGATGCCAGTGCAATGCATTAGTTTCTGTTCAGCTCGTGCAGTTAGATGTTTACCTGATGCCGTACATAAACTGCTGTTTATCTGGTTCTGTTGCAGTTAGCTGTTTAGATGGTGCAGTGGCGAACCATGACTAATAGAAATAAGCTTTCAGTTTTTAAAAAAAAAAAACAGCTTTGGCAAAAATGCTAATTTCTGTTAGCGCTCCTGTGAAATTGTAGTGATATATTGCTACGCTAATGGCAATTCACATAAACATTTTCTGCATGTTCTACATTAAACAAGGAAATATGAAGCTTGTACAAGACATTCCATGTTTTATTTTAGGCTTGTAAAAGATGTTGATGTTAATGCAGCACATTAGTTGGTGTTTTGCTGGCTGTCAGTGCAGTTAGCAGTTTATCTGGTGCTAATGCAGTGCATTGGGTTGTGTTTAGTTGATGTCAGTTAGTTGTTTTGCTGATGTCAGTGCAGGGCATTAGCTGGTGTTCAGCTAGTGCACTTAGATGTTTAGCTGGTGCACTGCATGAACTGGTGTTTATTTGGTGGCAGTTGTTAGCACTTTGCTGGTGTGTAGCTGGTGCCAGTGCAGCTAACTGTTTAGCCGGTGCTAGTGCAGACTGCCTACCTGCTTGCCTATTTCCTGCAGTTAATGGGGGCCCTCGACTTTACCCATAACAGTGAGGTGGCTCAGGTAGCCCATGGCAGTTTGGGCAAAGATGGTTTTTAATAAGGAAGAATGTTTTATTCATGTGACATGTGCATTGTCTGAACCTTTATATCTCAATTCCAGATGGAAAAGTGTGAATCCAACAGGAGAGTTCTGGAATAATGATGTTTTTCTCTCTGTAAACATGGCCAGTTTACCTTATTGGTGTAGATTTGTTTGCACTAGGATTGAATGGCTCAATAGTGAAGTATCAATACTTCCAATCCTGACATTTCCTATTGAGAATTGATCCTCACATAAAAATATCGATACCAATGTTTTCTAACCAGAAATTTAATGTTTCATATTTTTATGAATTTGAATCTGTATTTGATGCTTTAAAACAGTGTTGATTTCAGTAAATAATTGTGATGGCCATGCCTCGTACACACAGTCAGCCACTCAGTATAAGTGCTCTGCTCTAAAGGAAGCAAAGCATTATTAGTGGAGTTATTCCATTCCTTTCTAGAAGTTTGTTTTTGGCAGTTTATTTAATAAAAATGCAAATGCATTTGAATATCATTTTTGATGGCCGCACAGATGTTTTCACTCTGAAGATCACAAAAGTTTCTCCTTGTAAAAATGTCAGCATTAGCATTGAGATGTTAGCCTTAGTAGTACTTGACATCACTCATCCATTCTGTGCACCAACTGGAAGTTGGCAGTAGAACCTGACTGAGAACAGACTGACACCCTCATGGTGTTGGGGCTATTAGGGGGCTTCCCTCCTCTCAGGATTGATGGTAAGCAGGGGGTCCTTCCTCTGATTTTGAGGGCACGTTCAACACTGCCTCTGCCAAGCTAATTAAACATAGGCCGCTATTAATTATTCCGATTTGGTGCTCATTTGAATCCTGCATAAATTAGGCGCAGCCTTATCAGCGCAGTAAGTTGTTTTGTGGTGGATTAGAGTAATGGGATTAGTTAGCGTAGCTGCACAGCGCATGCACAGCTCTGAAACGAACAATAAAGATGACAAGTGTTTCCAGGTCATGTTTCAGGAACTCGGAGAGGTCGCTTATCACGGCCACTAATTTGTGCTTTGCTTCTCGTTTGCGTCCTGTGGAGAAAAGGCGGTCGGTAATTATAAGGACACAATCACGCCCTTGTATGCATGCGCACACTCTCTACTCTCTCTCACACAGCACTTATCTGTTGTGTCTGTCTTTTGAAGAGTGTTTGATTAGCAAATGAAAATGAATGGGAGAGTCAGAGGTTAGGGGTGTGTGTATGTGTGCTTGTGTGGTGTAATGAGTGCGGGGGTCTGGAGGGAGCAGCCTGGCTGAAAGGTTGTGAGCGTCTCCCCTGGGGCAGTGGTTCAGCCCCTCTCTCTCTGCATCATCTCTCTTCATTAGAGCTGAGTGGCAGTACCACTTAAGAGGCAAACAGGGGAGGCCCCTCTGTCTGAGCCAAAAACACACCCACAACTGCTGTTAACACTGCAGCCTGTCTGCCTACACATGCCGACCACTGACTACAAGGCCTGTTCAAACTAATAACAGGGAGAGAGGGAGAGAGAGAGAGATCTCCTGGTTTAATCTTAGACACACACATTCATTCTCTTTCTTATTACATATAGTGCTCCTCGGAGAGTCATCAGCTGCTGTCATTGGCATGATGAACACACACTGAGGTTTGTTTTTATACCTTATCAGCGCATGAAATCGCTTAAATCATCCATATGTATTGCATGTAAGTAACTATATGTAATAATAATACAGTACTTTGCAAAAGCGAGAGACTAGCCTTCATTTAATTTCCAGTCAAAACAGCCTTTAAGTGCGAGTTGTTCACCTTTCATCATTAGGAAAAAAGGCCAAACAAGTATTTAACACATTCAATGATGTTGAGGTCTGGACTCTTTTGAGAACATCAGCTTCTTTGTTTGATTTGTTAATTTTCTTCTTTTTTTGTCTATTTTCTTTTGTCAGGAATGGCTTCTTGTCAGCTACACATCCTTTCAGACTCAGTGTTGAGTTGTCTTAGAAGGATGGACAGAAACACCTGGTTGCATGCATGTCTGTTAAGAGCCCCATTTCTGTGTACATGTGTGTGTGTGTGTGTGTGTGTTATATATATATATATATATATATATATATATATTATATATACATACACATATATATGTGTGTGTGTGTGTGTGTGTGTGTATATATTTATTATATATTATATATTATATATATTATGTGTGTGTGTGTGTATATATATATATATGTGTGTGTGTGTGTGTGTGTGTGTGTGTATATAACATACAACAAAACGTGTCTCCAAAATGATTTTTTCCAGCTATATTTTGGCCGTTTCCATTCCTCATGATTTTTACACACAGTGTAACAGGTGTTTTCAATTTATGTCAAAAACTTAAACCCATCAAAAATGGAGATATGAGGTTCGAAGCTTTGTATATGTGAATGTGTATAAGTGTGTGTGTGTGTGTGTGTGTGTGTTTACAATTAGGTTTTTATAATATTAACCTTAGTAACCAAAACTACCAGATAGGGGCGTGAATATGACTTATTGACACTTATGTGCTGTAGCTTTTGGATTCTGTTTGTTTCTTTGTTTTTTCTTTCTTTCTTTCTTATCCACACACGCTCGCAGACGCACGCTCAGGTATGCATATAAATGGAAACTCTCACAAGCACACACACAAACAGGTACACACACTCCACATAATTCCACTGGCTCCATCTATTCAAGGCCAATTTGAGTGAAACTGACCTTCACTTTCCTGTAGTCCTCCATCTCAGTCTTATATGAAACACACGCACACACTCACTTTTGCTCACTCCAGGGAGAGCGTTGAGGCGTTGGCAACACACTGCAATTTCAGCTCATCTGAATGCCTGACTAAACATGCTCTGATGAGCTCACACCACTGAGCTTAATGGAGAGAGATGGATATTAATGTCTGAAGCACGGAAGAGAGAGGGATGAAAGCATGGAACAAGAATCAGAGATGGACAAAGAAATTGAGCGTGTAGCTGCATGGAGACGGAGAGGCAGAAAAATGAAGAGGAAATGGGTGTAAATGAATAGTGCATCAGAAAAGCAATGCAAAACAATGAAAAGAGTGAGGAAGAGTGACATCAGGAGAATTGTTTTTTTAAAATGGGGCGATCAATACAGTAAATTAAATGGAATAGTAAAGATCTTAAATTATGTAATAGTCAAGCCTAAGATTAAAATAATAACTACAGGGCTGAAGACATTTAAATAAGTTTGTTACAGCTGAAAGGCTAGTGGATATATACAGGTTCTAAGGCCCATATGTCAAACACAAGGCCCGCAGACCAGATCAGGTTCTTTAGCTTCATATACCAAACCTGAAGTACAAAACCTGGGTGTGATCTTAGACTCTAAGCTCTGTTTTATCCCGCATGTAAACACAGTCACTAAAGTAGCTTTTTATCATCTGAGAAATATCGCTAAAGTTCGGCCTTTTCTCTCTCAGAGCGACGCAGAGACATTTGTTACAAGCAGACTTGACTACTGTGATGCTCTTCTTACTGGACTTCCTAAGAAAACTATACATCCCTTACAACTCGTACAAAATACAGCAGCGCACATCCTAACAAAAACAAAAAAGAGAGATCATATCACTCCTGTTTTAAAAGAGCTGCACTGGCTGCCTGTATCATTCAGGATAGATTTTAAAGTTCTGCAACTGTTTTTTAAAGCTCAGAATAACCTTAAAGCACCTGCTTACTTCACAGAGTGTCTGTCTGTTTATGTCCCGGCACGTAATCTAAG